GGCCGCCGCCACCATGCAGCACTCTGCGTCGCATCATCAACGTCATCATCATCGCTCACACAACTCATCGCTACTCGACAGCACTGCCAACTCTAGCAACACAACACACAGCTCGAACACAACGAATTCGTCGAACACCACCGGCAAGGAGGGTAAACGTAAGAAGATTTGGAATATTTTGGGGCGTAGCAAAACGCCGGACAAACAGAAATCCGCCACGCTCGGACGGGAGAAGGCGTCATCATCGAATGCGGCAAARACAGCGGCGAAAGTTAAACTCGCACAGGACGATCTGAATTTGATGCATCGCTGGTCGACCGGTGTGTCGCGGYTWCAGCCCATTTCCGGGCAGTATTCAAAGGACAAATTGGTGAGTAATTCTGTATCTAGTATCAGTCCTCAACAGTGGAGCCAAAAGCAAACGTCAGAGACCCTAAAAAATATAAATGATCACATTGTCGAGTTGTATCGATTTAGATCGATATCTCTAAAACTARTCCATATAGACACCCTGATGGTCTTTATATATGTATATATACGAACTGAGGTACTAGTTTTTGAGATATCAATCTGAAATCTCGCACACGTCGTTTTTTCTCCAAGTCTTCGCTTATTTGTCGGAACCGCCCATATYGGACTAGTTTAGCATATAGCTGCCATACAAACTGAACGATCAAATTCAAGTCCTTGTAGAAAAACTTTTTCTTTTGACAAGATATTTACACGAAATTTGGCATGGTTTATTGGCCACGGTAAAACTACTACACTTGAAAAAATTTTTGAAATTGACAATATAGCATATAGCTGCCATACAAATGAAAGGTTCATAATCAAGTCTTTGTAGGGAAAACTTTTTTATTTTAAAAGATATCTCCATAAAATTTGTCTTCGATTAACTTTCAGGAGAACGCTACAATCTCAGCAAAAATTGTTCAGATCGGACCACTATAGCATATAGCTGCCATACAAATGGAAGGTTCATAATCAAGTCTTTGTAGTGAAAACTTTTTTATTTTAAAAGATATCTCCATGAAATTTGTCATCGATTAATTTTCAAGAGAACGCTAGAATCTCAGCAAAAATTGTTCAGATTGGACGACTATAGCATATAGCTGCCATACAAACTGAACAATGAAAATTAAGTACTTGTATGGAAAAGTTTTTTATATGCCAATTCACGAAATTTGGCACAGATTACTTTCCAAGGCAACACTAAAATCTGCGAAAAACTTGTTAAGATCGGACTACTATAGCATATAGCTGTCATACAAGCTAAATGTTTAAAATTAAGTTTCTGTATCTGAACTCCTTCATTTTTGAAGGGTATTGTAAAAATAAATCGGTGTTTTACTATATATTTGTATATCTTGCTTAATATATTCCGCTATAAGAAATTTTATGTAAATCCCACATAATTTTAGTGCCCAATACTCACTGAGAAACTGAATGATCCGCAACTGTTCATGGAATTTGAAAGTATACCGAAGCGTTGCGAAAATGCCAGCTATGACTGGGCGCTGATGGAAGAAAACGCGAAAAAAAATTCCGATCCTAACTTTTTGCCATACGATTATAATCGTGTTAGCATAACGCCGACRTGGGAGAATAAAACGGGCTATGTTAATGCGTCGCGCATTTCGGTAAGCAACTAAGCATAAAATTATGTTATTAAAAATTTAAATGAATGCCCGTTATATTCGGTATAAGAATTTTTTTTTTGACATTTACAAAATATTAATATCTTTATATATAAATAAAACAAAATCGCCTTAGTATGTATCAAATKGTCTTCTTACAGGCCACAGTTGGCACAAATCAACGCTTCTACATAATTGCTCAATCGCCACAGGACAAGCTGACCACAAATATTTTCTGGCAGTGTGTCTGGGAGGCAGACGTTTATTTGATTGTAAAGCTATCGGAGGGTCTGAATTACATGCCACCGAATAGCAACCAGCGGCTCGAGTTTGATCAAGTGAGTTTGAACAAAATACTTTCCGACCACTTTTCATTTACTCACCACTCTCACACACATTCACTTAATTGCAGTTTCAAGTGTATCAGGAGTTCTCACAAACCACAGATCGTTGCATTACCAGCAAGCTGCGTCTCTTTCACATACCATCGCGTCGTTATCGCTCCGTTTGGCATTTGAACTACACCAATTGGGGTGAACAGAATTGTCCATTGGAGGTGAATCACTTTTTGGACTTTCTCGAAGAACTGAATTCCGTGCGCATGGCTTCGGCAAACGAAGTGCCACCGGGACATAATACCAATCCGCCAGTGTTGATACATTGTCTCGAGGGTGGTGGACGCTCGGGCGTAACGTTGACCGCTGATTTGTTACTCTACACGCTGGATCATAATGAGGTGTGTATTGCAGTGTATTTGCGRTACATTGCACTTGGCAATATTTTAATGCAAAATTTTCCTGTGTGTGTTTTCAGGATTTGGATATACCACGCGTTATAGGTCAACTACGTGATCAGCGCGATAGCATCATACCGTCCTTAGCGCAGTATAAATTTATTTATAGTCTACTTATAACATATTTAAAGCGTACGCGTTTAATTTGAGCGCCAAAATGTGCCTTATAAACAAAAAACATAAAAACAAATCCTCCAAATCCCAAAATCCTCACTCCCCACACTTGTGGCCATTATTACGAAATTTAAGCAATGCTAAATTGCATTAGTTTTACAACAACGCGCTAACGATTTTTTTAATTTTAACTTACAGTTAGCTTAAGCGACGATATTTATATTTATACAAAAGAAATGAGTAAGCAAAAAAGAGAAACGAAGCAAAAACAATAATAATTTATAACAGAATGTGAACGAACAATTCAAAATATGCGATAAACTATTGATTAAGCAACATTGTATACAATACATTTTTTTTTATAACCGACATACATGATATATATGGTGCTTCCATCGAAAAAGTGACTGACCGATAACACACTATACACCCCTACAGCCCTAAGACACATAAAAAATCTGTAGATAAGACACTATACAYCCGTAAATACGTAAAAATCTGTTGATAACGAACCTTTGTTGAAAATATTGACAATTTTGAAAATCAATTATTAGGCCAAATAGTTTTGAAAATGCTAAAAAATAAAAAAAATTATAGTACGACGAAACCCATTGGAAATTTAAAATAACCAAAATTATAGGAAAAAATTTAAAGTAAAATCAGACCCATTGGGAGACGTTGTTGAATTTTTAAGGTTTAAAAACGAATTATCTTTATTCCGTACAGAACTATGAGTCCTATAGAAAAGAGTTATTTGGCAAAGTTGTAGATCTACGACTTTTGTGTCAACAACTTTCACACATAACCTCAAAATTTATATTTTTCCAATTGGAAAAGCAATATAAAATAACAAAAATGATAAAAAAAAAATTACGGACGAATTGAGGTCCGGAAGTGGAAAAAAGGGGCGTGGCTGAATTTTTAACATAGTAGATTTTTGTCGTGATCACCGGTGATACACTGGCAGCCAACGCTAAGGGTTTATCTCGATTACGGAAAAAACTATGGGTCCTATAGAAAAAACTTATATAGAAAACTTGTAGTTAATGAAAAGATCTACGTACTGTGTATTAATACTTTTCACACATAACCTACAAATTTATGCGAAAAATTCAAATTATACTACGAAATAATAGGTACATGATATTTTTGGTTTTTGCTGCGAAAACTTTCCATAGTAGTCTATTTATTTTTTATACCGCTAGAAAGTGAATATTTAAAAGCAAAAAAAGCCCACCGATTTTTTTGAAAAAGTTGTTTTCAGGTGAGAAATTTTGATTGAAAATTTGAGTTTTCTGATACTAATGCAACATACATAAAAGACATGAAAAGATTACACAAAGTAAAATTAAAAATAAAAACTCCAAAGCTATTTTAATTAAAAAAAAAAATTTTAAGCTTAAGGGGTCAGTAGGGTAATCTGGCTTGTTTTTTTGAAAAAAACTGGTTTACCGT